CCCCGTTTGTCATGGTTTAACCCCTGTGGTACCAAACACCCCACGGTCCCCAGCTCACCCCCTCTCCCTGGCACGATGGGGACAGAGCTGTGAGAAGGTAAAAAAGTCATGGTTGAGATCAGAACAGTTTAATAAATAAAATCATTGAATGAAATGAGACAGAGGGGAGAGAGAGATAAATAAACCCCAATTAAAACAATAATCACAGGGTGGTCTCCCACCTGCTGCCCTGAAATTGGTGCCTCAATCCCCAATTTAAATCCTGGACACGACTTTCTGCAGTATGGGATGTCCCTTTGGCCATGCTCAGCTGTCCTGGCCCGTGGCTCCTTCTGCACCTCCTGCCTGGGAAAATTCCCTAATTTGGGGGAAGCACAACTGAGCAAGCACTGCAGCACCAGGTTGGTATCCAAAGTATTCTCCTACCAATCCAAAACCCTGCACTGCACCTATTGAGAACAGAACTCACCCCATCCCAGCTGAAAACCACTTTTGAGCATTCCCAAAACATTTCATTAAGGATCTTCTGCTACTTTACTCACTTGCACAACCCTAAGTTAGAAGTTTTCCCTTCACAGTAAATTAGAATTTATTTTTTTCTGTTTCATTAGAAGTTTTCCCTTCACAGTAAATTAGAATTTATTTTTTTCTGTTTCACACAGCAGGGGAAAAAAAAAATTTTTTTTTTTTTCAACTTGCTGTCAAGGCTTTTCTTTGGAAAACTAATTTCTTCATCAGCTGCTCAGGATTGTCAGGAAGGAGGGTGGAGCCTTCCCAGGCTGCCGTCCTCCAAACCCTACCTGAGTATAAAGAGCAAAGCAGAACTGCAGCCAAGAAACTCTCAAAAGCTGCTTCCACTGCCTGCTGGGATTCCAAGGCTGGTTTCATTCTTTCCCTGCTGGAACTTGCTGCTCCAAAGACCAGAGAGAAGCTGGACTCAGCTAATTACATTGGAGGATTAATTGCATTGCCATGGTCTCCATGTGATACTGGATTGATTTTTTTTTTTTTTTTTTTTTAAACACAACTGAACAGGGGTTGTTTTTTTTCCTCTCCCCTCTTCTCTTTCATCTTTTTCTGCACACACACAGTGGAGATGTTGCAAACAGTCTGCATGAGTCCTGAGCTCCTTGTCAACCAAAACATGAGTGAAAGTGAAATCTGTGGCTACAGCCCAGGCCAGGGATCTCCACTGCCTGGAGAAACTGCCAGCCCCAAGAGCTGCCTCCAGCAGAGCCCATCTCTGCCAGATTCTGGATTAACTGAGCTGAACCTTGCGAGTCCCAAGATCTGCCACCCTCCTCCTCCTCCTCCTCCATGCCAAGCTCCAGGGATGCCTGCTCCTGCTGGTAAGAGAAAAAATCTTTATTCCCATTTCCTATTCTGTGCTCCCTGCAGCAGCTGGTAAAGCCCAGTGACCCGGGGCTCTGAGCAGCACAAACCAAACCCGACATTATCAGAGATGTTCAGCACATTCCCCTTCTCAGGCTTGGCTGGATTTTGTGGTGTTCTGCTGCTGAGGCCAGAAATTGCTCTGGTTCCCAAAGGATGCCCAATATTCCATCATTTCTGTCCATCTCCAGCGTTTGGCTGCTCGTTTGCATTCTGAATTGCAAGTTTGGTTCTGAACTAACAGCAAGGTAATAGATGTGACCTTCTGAGTTATTAACATTTCAAAGTCACAGGAAAGTGTGTTTGGTGAATCATTGCCTCTGCAAAGTCCTTCAGTTTCTAGGATATACCTGATCCACCGCTGGAAAACTCTTCCCAGATAACAACACATTAGCAATCTGACTGGCTTGTTATAAAGCTTTTCAAAGAAACCTTTAAAATACTCTACAAACAGTAAATAATTCATTCTCAAAACACCAATCTATGGGGAAAAAAAAAAAAAGAACCATTTCCAGAGCAGTCTGAGAAACAAACTCTGCTTTTCGAGGTCTCAGTGTTTTGATTATTCAGCGATAGGTTAAACACTGAGAAGTGCCAGAAATCTCAGCGTGAAACAACCACCCCATCTCCATTCCAAAGGCACCATTTGCTGCTCGGGATTCGCCTCCCTCCTGCTGGAGGGGTGTCAGCTCTCGTTGCCTGGAGCAGGGAAGGGAAACAAAATCACGCAACAAGAAACCACATCTTGTGGGGCTGGTTCCCCTGCCAGGATTGCCTCCTCTCACACATCCAGGAGCTGCCCCATTCCCATCTGCTTCCCCCTCCACAGGTTTTGCTTCCCCCAGCCAGATTTTGCTCAGGAATATTAATTCAGGCACCTCATGTTTTATTTAACAGCACCAGGAGCTGCTGGCCCAAAGCACCTTTTTCGTTCCAAGCTGTTTGTGGTGTTTAATTCCTGAATCGTGTTTGATCACAAGAGCTGTTTTTATTCCTCTTGCCATGAGCTGCAGTGGGAACAGAAAGCTGCTCCCTGCCCCAGAATTGCTGCTCTCAGGATCCCACACCGTGCTTCCCAAAGCTCAGCCACAGCTCCAAGGAGAGCCTTCCTCCACGGTGAATTTTATTGGGAAAGCCCTGATCTAACGCATTAAATCGGTAATTTTTTAAATCCTAATGTGTGTCACTGAATGCAATTTATAGAAACTTATTCCAAGTGGGGGGACACACAAGGCAGGGACGTGAATTCCAGTGTTACATAAAAGGTATTTCAAAAGCCAGTGGATTTAAGCTCCTAATCTGGGCAAGTCTTTCAAGTTTGGGGATGCAGGCACCAGATGCAAGGAGACCTAACACAAACAAGCACAGAGCAGCTTGTTTTGACAAAGAGAGAGCCTGTTTGGACAACGAGGTATATTCTCAAATAACTGTCTCATTTCAGAGCAGAAAATCATTGTTTTGCTTTGAATCACACAAAAACTTCCAAACACACTGAGAGCCATGGGGTAAAGCCACTGGACAGAGCATCCCTATCTTAATTTTGAACAAATTCTGCTCCTTGTTGTTGCACTGATAACAATTTAGCAAACCACAGGACAGGAAACTGCAAAGGCAGATTTACCACACCACAGGAAAATCAGAATGTGAGAGAAGCAGAGACCTAAACGCTGCTGACACATCCCCCAAAAGCAAATCCATGCTCTGTGTCAGGAAAACTGAGGAATTCATTAAAGGAAAATCATTGAGCAGAGCCAAGGAACACGCAGGGAGATGTGGAAATTTCCCAGAACTGATGATGAACATCAGCATCAGAGCTCTCTCCCCAGGCTGACCTCATCCTCCCACCCCTCCCCACCAGCTCAGACAATTGTGTTACTTTCAGCATCGTGTTGTGACTTTTCCAGACTCTGAACTTAGCTCTGATCCCCCTCAGAAGCGCTACATGGGTGTGAGAGTGAAGATGCCAGTGCGGGAATTGCTGAGGAAAATCCGACTTTCCAAAGGCTTGGACCCAGCTCCAGGCAAGGTGAGAAATCCCTGATGTTGGGGAAGGTTCCTGCCAGGGCTGCAGCATCCTGGTGCACACAGCCACACCCCACTGAGTGCTCTGGAAGGGTCAAACCTGCCTCTTCCAGCCACCAAATCGAGGCTTTTTGGGAAAAGTGGAGAATAAACCAAATTTCAGAGTTTGGCTGGGCTAGGAACAGCTCTAAGGCTGCAGGAACCCATCTGTGCCATGGATGCTGTACATCACTCCATCAATGATGAATTCAATTCAAGGCACCATTCAATGAATCATTCATTCAATCAGAGCAATGATGGCCCAATAAACAATAAAAATATTGCCCCAGAACCTGCAAAAACAGCCCTAGGAGCTGATAAACTCTCAGCCTGCTGTAAAGTTCTTTATAAAACTGCCCTGAATTACCCAAATCTCTGCACCTGCAGCCCCTGCTGAGCAAAACCCAGAGCACAGGAGGCAATTTCACTCTGTTCACGTTGCAATATTTGCCAATGTTTCATCTTCTCCTCCCTGTGAGCATCTCACATTGAAGCTGGGTGGTTTTGTCTCCTCAGGAAGCCTCGTCAGTGAAGATGGTAACCAAAGGATCCTCAGGAAAAACAGGTTTGGAAACGCCTCACTTGGTAGCAGAGCCTCCTTTTCTAGTAGGATCATCACTGTGAGGTACCCAAAGAGCCAGAGCACTCCTGCCCCATGGTCAGTGATCCCTGCTGGGTCCTTTCCATCCCAGCTGTGCATCACCGCCCTGTCTGCCTTATCTAGCTCGAATTTAGGGCAGGACTGATGGCAATCTCTGCTCCGTGTCTGCCTCTCTCAGCTCAATGTTTCCTCCCCCCCCCACCTCCCTTTTTTTTTTTTTTTTTTTTTTTTTTTTTTTTTTTTCCTTCTTTTTATCATGAAGCCCAAACAAATGCAGAGAAACAGCTTAGACAGGTATGCAGAACACCCTGAACCCCGCTGTGCCAGGCTCCCGGGGCAGAATTCCTGTTCTATCACCCAGGGAGAACANCCGCCCTGTCTGCCTTATCTAGCTCGAATTTAGGGCAGGACTGATGGCAATCTCTGCTCCGTGTCTGCCTCTCTCAGCTCAATGTTTCCTCCCCCGAGCTAGAAGTACTTTTTTTTTTTTTTTTTTTTTTTTTTTTTTTTTTCCAGCAGAGAAGAGGAGAACTCACCCTTATACAGAGAAACAGCTTAGACAGGTATGCAGAACACCCTGAACCCCGCTGTGCCAGGCTCCCGGGGCAGAATTCCTGTTCTATCACCCAGGGAGAACAGGACACTTCATGTCTGCTTCCCTCCCCTTTCTTCCACCCTGCCCGCCCTTCTGTTGCTGTTTCAGGGCAAGCAGAGCGCTGGGCAAACCCCCAAAGGCTTGGAGGACCTCGACATCCTGGTGGAGGTGCTGCAGGAGGATCTGAACAAAAGCCAGCTCGGGGAGGAGCCCGGGCACCCCGTGCCAGGCTGGATTTGGCAGGGATTCTCCAGGGATCCGCAAAGCGTGGGGAGGCAGGAGGCAGCAGCCGGGCTGCAGGGAAAGCAGCAGAGCCCAGAGCAGCTTCAGCCCCAATCCTGCTGGCAAGATTCCCACCCCATCCTGCGGGGACAGGCTCAGCCTCCCTCCCACGGCCAGCGCGGGAGCATCCAAAGGGCCGGAATGTTCTCCGGGACGGGCGGCAAAGGGAGCAGCTGGTGGATGCAGGATGCTCTCCTGAGCTCCCGGGAACGTCTTCCCAGGAATTCTCCGTGCCAAGAAGGTTTTCCCAGGAATTCTCTGTCCCAGGAAGGCTTTCCCAGGAACTCTCTGTCCCAGGAAGGCTTTCCAAGGAATTCTCCGTCCCAAGAAGGTTTCCCAAGGAACTCTCTGTCCCAAGAAGGTTTTCCCAGGAACTCGTCATCCCACGAAGGTTTTTCAAGGAATTCTCCATCCCACGAAGGTTTCCCGAGAAATTCTCCATCCCAGGAAGGTTTCCCAAGGAATTCTCCATCCCAGGAATGTTTCCCCAGGAATTCTCCATCCCAGGAATGTTTTCCCAGGAATTCTCCATCCCAGGCCACTCCTGCCCTCCCCAGCCCTGCAGAGATGCTGCTGGGAGCTCACAGGGGCTCTCCAGATGTGCAGGGACATTTGAGGCCACCCCCAAATTCCTTCACCCAGCAGGACCTCTCTGCCCTCTCCTTCTTCCAGTTCCAGCTGCACAGGGAGGAAAATTTGCTGAGGAACATCCCGGAGGAAAAATTGCTGGCTCCTGATGAAAATGGCAACAGGTTCTCGATTTTTTTGTCAAAATCGATTTCTGTCCCCTGGGGGCATCACTTTGCTCTGACCTCTGAGCAAAAGCTCAAGGGGAAGCTCAAACTTGAACCAATGCACAGAATTTTAGGCAGATATTAAAAATATAAATACTCTATATTTGCAGTAATATTCCTGAGCTACAGCTGACATCAGGATAAATTCAGGGTGGTAAAATATTTAAGGATGAGGGGTATGTGTAGAGATTCACAAGAAAATTAAAATCAAGCAAAGTACTGGAAAAAAAAAGCAAAAAAAAAAAAAAAGATCTTTTCCACGCTGCAGACACTCTCAGTGTAATTATTTGTATTATTAACTGCTAATAAAAATGGATGGGAGGATTACCCAAAAACACAAACTGGAGCACAGATTCCCAAAGAACTGGGAGTGGCTGTTGTGCTGGAAATGAAAGGAAAACAAATCCCAGTAAAACCCAGTACTGCCCTGGAATGGGATGCTTCTGGAGAAAATAGCTTTTTATAAGAAAAAAAAATTAAGATATCTAATAAGTCTCCATGTAGATTAGGATAGCTGGTATCAAATCAGACTGACAGAAAGCATGGCATCATTTATGAATTATCTGAGTCCTGGGGAGAAAGAGATCAATTCCTGTCCTAAATTTAAAATATTGAAAACCCCACAGAGGGAAAACCAAGCACAGCACTTCCCTAAATTGCCACGTTCCATTCACAATAATGATTGCCAGTAATGATTCCAACAATAAAATCAAACTTCACTTTTCAGCAATTATGAAACCCAGCAAACAATAAATAAGACACCTGTTTATATATTTCCTGCATTTTTTAAAATGACACACAAAAATTTCTCAGACGTGAATGAAATTGATCACAACTAAGAAATTAAGAGATTTCTACTCCCACGTTAAGGTATAATTCACAAGCAAAAAATTCCAGAACTCACTTTTATAAAGATTCTACACTCAAAAGAACGCTCAAAATACAACCTAAATAAGATCATTCTTAGTTTTGCTCAATGGTGAATAAAAATCCATTTAAAAAACCCCCAAAATCCCCAAACCAGACTAAACCAAACAACCAAAAAATCACCCCAAAAAACCCCAAACTGAGCAAGAAGTGCCAGAGTTGTTTAGTTATATTTAAGGATATTTTGCTACAAGAAAAGGGAAGAAGAAATAAATAAGTACAATCGGTGCCTCTGTTAATTTTTCCTCCCTGAGGAAAGGAAGACAACACTGAAATTCACAAGAAAAAAACCCCAAAGAGTCTTTTTAGGATGAAATTCAGTAGAAACTGAATTTTGTAAATGTACATTTTTTTTTTAAATTTACTGTTTTCAGTAGTTGAGTGAGACTGAACACAGAGGAAATTGAGATCTCCTCCACAGGACTCCAATTCCAGTTTGGAAATTTTTCTTTTAAGACTGAGTGTTTCACTTCTGTCAGTTTTTTTAGGGATCTTGCACCATTTTCCCTGGATAAACAGGGATTTTGGGCAGGGAGGAATCATGGCTTGGCTCCTGGAGAGGAATGGGATGACAGCAAAAAGGGAGGAGCAAGAAATCCTGGCAGACAAAACTATAACTGTTACTATAGAGAGAAATAAAAACTTGGGTATCCCAATATTTCAGTATTTTCCAGCATTAATATTTGATGCTTTAAAATCCTCTCTCCCTGTTATTTTGGGGGGTTTTTAACCCCTCCTTTGGGGGGGTTTTAACCCCTCCTTTCTCTTGGGATTGTTCCCAACTGGATTCTCTTCCAGGCTGCTGCACAAGGCTGTTGCCCAGGGAAGGAGGGCTCTGACTTTTGCCCTGGCCCAAAGATTTGCATCCCTCAACAAGATCGACCAGAAGGATGCAGAGGAAAGGGTAGGAGGCTGATTTGCCAAGGGAAAAAAAAAAAAAAGTAATTTTTTTATCACATGCAAGCCTCTGTCAAACCCCAGCCGAGCACCAAGCATCGTCCTGCTGTGCTGGGAAAGAAGGGGAATGGGAATGGGAATGGGGAGGGAATGATGGAGCACAAGTGGGAACAGAGCCCCAAAATCCCAACCCCCCGCTTCATTCTCTAAAAAACGTCGTTGTTTTTAAACCATTTTTGCCTTTCACCGCAACTTTCTGCCCTTCTTCCCTTCTCAGACTGCTTTACATCTTGCTGCAGAAAAGAACCAGCACCTGATGGTGAGTGACCTGATCTCCCTGGGAGCCAATGTCAACGAGCAGGACAGCTCTGGGAAAACTCCGCTGCACCTGTGTGCAGAGAACGGGTACCTGAGAGTTCTGGAGGTAAATTGGGTGTTCACGTTGAGCAAAACTTATTCTACAATTTCAATTAACTTGAAACGCAATGAACTTCTTCATAAAATCACCACGGGACGACGGTTAACTTAGAAAATTAACAATCTTATCTTGTGACAAACTAACCAAATTTTACCCATAATAATTGTGGAGCAAAAGCAGTTAATGTTCAAAATAACCCGGGGTTTTCCATACAGCTCTGGCCCGGTGTGTTACAGAGGGATCCGGGGAAGGAAAAGGTATTTTGGCACTGCCAAAGGTCAGGAATCACCCGGATATTCTTCATTTCAGGTCCTGAAAAACTGCAAGAACAACGGGGTGTGCGTGGAGGTGGATGTGCCTGACCACTGCGGTAAGAGGCAGAGCTGAACTCTGCAAGGCTCGGCTTAGATCCCGAATCCACAAACACAGATTTATCCAGGCGGGGCTCAGGTGCTCAGGATTTGACTTTCCCTGGGTGTCGCACGCAGGTTTGACCCCGCTGCACTGTGCTGCTCTCGCCCACACCGTGCTGGTGACAGAAGGGCAGAGCACAGCCGGGGACAGCAGCACGGGGAGGCTCCTCCGGCTCCGGAAAGAACAAATCCTGGAGGGAATTCTCTGCCTGCTCCAGATGGGAGCAGAGCCCCGGCTGCAGGTGAGGATCACGGCAGCATCTCTGCCCTGGTTTAAGTGTTCCTGTCCTTGTGCAAGCACGGGGTTTGCTGTCATCTGCAGGTTCTGAATTCCTGTCAAACCTCCTCCCCTGCCCGCCTCAGACTGGAGGAGAACACAGAGCTCATGTGTTTGCTCCAGGCTCAGAAACCCCAGGCACAGGATGTTCTTCAAGAGGTAACTATGGCTGCTTTACACAGGCAACGGCTAATTCCGGGATTATTTTCCAGGATTAAGCAAATATTCAGTGCTTAAACAACAACAACAAAACCCCCCAAAACAAAACCAAACCACAAAAAAAAAAAAAAAAAAGTTACAGCTCTTTTGTCTTTTCTTGCCTCTGTCAGATAAGAGTTCCCGCCAGAGCACATGGAATAAACATAACAATAAAACAAGATTTCAATTATAAATACGGACTTAAGGCGCCATTTCAATCACTGAGGTTCTCCCAACAGGAGAGAAAAAAAAGAAAAATCATTTCAGTGCAATTCAACCGGACATTGACTGTTCTGGTCTCTTCCCCGTACAGAGCTGCAGCCCGCTGGATGCTCCCAGAGGAATCCCCGCTCCCCCAGCAGCAGAAAATTTACCTGAGCTTTGCTCCTTGGCATCCTCAGAGCTCCTGGATGTCCTTCTCCAAGGTATTTTGTGGCAGCAAGGGCAGCTGAGGTCGTTTGGGGTTTTTGTGACCCAGCAGCTGCAGTGGCTCAGTCCAGTCCCTTCCCTGCTCTGCCACCCCACGGAATCATTTGGGGTGGGGGGAAAAAAAACCTCAAAATCATTGAGTTCAAACCTCCACAGCCTGGAGCTGATGGAAAAGATGTTCAGCACCTCATCCCAACCTTTGGGTTTATTCCAGAATTCATTTTCCTTGCAAACCTCCTTCCTCAGCCAAAGGCAGGCAGAAAATGAGGGAATAAATAAAATAACTTGTGCCTTCAGCAGGAACACCTGGCCTGGGGATGGAGCTCAGATTTGCTGCTTTGTTGCCTTGCAGGGAAATGCTGAGAACTCTCCTCACCTGACTCTGGTGGGCCACCAGCTGCAAGAGAATAACCAGAATTACCAGAGTAAAATATAGAATATATTATGTTATATCATATCTTGAACTGACTGCTGGAAAGATCTCACCTGGACCCAGAATTAAAGAGCAAACTGATAAATGAGGGAAATCCTCAGTGCAGGTTTCACCAGGAATTCAGTGTTAGGTGCTCCAGGAAGAATTAAATTTTCATTTTCTCACAAATTTCTGCTTCTCTGCTCAGGTCTGAGGTGGAGCTGCCCTGCAGTCTGAAGCTCTGATGATTTTTCATGCAGGTGTTTAGCCCAAGAAAAGGATTTTTAACCATCCAGGGCCCAGTCTTGAGGGTTTCAGTCTAAAATTATTCTCTACACTCCAAATTCAACGTTCAGATAGACTGAAAATCTGTCATTTTAATCACAAGCTCTGGGAATTCAGAGCCTGATGAGTTATATTTAATATTTTCTGCACTCTGGCTCTGAATTTGGCCAAGCCTGGAGGGGTCACACTTTAAGGAAGTCTCACAGTGAAGTCCTTCCAAAATAAATCTTCGTGCTGAGCATGTTTTCTCAACAAAAGTCAAGCTTTTTATTCATGCAATCAGAATTTTGCACCAATCGTGGATTGTAGGTGAAGTCTGGGACAAAGTGTTTGGATTCAGCTCCTTTCTAACAGATCTAACAGAGGGTTTTACATTTGCAAAATTTAAATATTCAACAACAGCTTCGGAAGGATCATTTTTTACACAAAGTTGGGAGCATAACAAGGAGCTGAGGTGATCCTGTCCTGCCAGAAAACCAAGTTATTCAGTGCAATCGCTACAAACGAGCTCATTTTTATTTGGAATTATTCCTTCCCAGATTTACTCTCCTTTCATTTTACCTTCTGGTTGCGAGTTTGCTGGTTTCTATGAAACTTCCCTGTTTGCTACATAGGGAGCAATTCTATTTTTACAGAACCTAAACCCAAAAAAAAACCAAAAAAAAAAACCAACCACCCAAAACCCCAAAAAACTGATCCAGCAAGCCCTCACGTGTCTCCTGTTGAGGAAAATGGGAGATTTCCCACGTGAAAGCACTGCAGGATCCAGTGTTAAGTACTCAGCATCTTTGGGGAATGTTTTTAATGAACCCTTTGCATTTGCTTCTTGTAAAAAAAAAAAAAAAAAAAAAAAATTATTTTGGTGTTATGGGGTTTCCTTAAGTGTTAAGCTCCGAGAGCTACATTGCACAAGGTGAATTAACTTTGAGCAGTGGCAGTGTTGAAGTGAATTCCAATGGGATTTGGGTCACAGCCCGTGATTCTGATAACCTGAACAGCTCAAGAGTTCTCTTTTGTGTTTTCTCTAGTCTGACTGAGACAAAATAATTCATAATCTTTCAGTATTTCATTTATATATATATATATATATATATATATTATGTTATTCTCATAATGAGCTGCATAACTCATCCACCTCCATCTAAAGCTTTCCTTCATGTGTTAATAATCTGAAATATTTTCTTTTTCCCTTTTTTAAGTCCCAGGTTTTATGGATATTTTTCCTCCCTGGTTATTTCTCTCTGTTCCCCCCCACCCATCACTGCTCATTTTCTGTTTGCATTTTACTCACTTCTGTTCTCACTGAACTTTTTATTCATTTGGAGACAATTAAGGAAAAACTTCTGGGTTAGCTCAGCTTCCATTCGTGGGATTGAAGGGTCAGATCCAGCCTCTTATTCTCATTAAAACCAACCAAGAAATCCCACATCACGAGGAAGAAGCAGTGTTGAACAAAGAGAAGAAAATCCATAAGCAGGGAAAAAACCCTGAATTTCCTCACAGGATTTCTCTAAAAAAAGCATAGAAAGCTCTCATTTAATAATACATTAATCGTGAATACAATAATAGATTAATAGATTAATGTAGCATTAATCTTTTAGTCATGGGAACCATTCAGGTGAAAGGACAGGAGTATTAAACTGTTCATATAAATATCATTTATTCAATATACTCAGAGATGAGCTGGCTTCTACAGTGTATTCTACCACACTTATCCATTAATTGCATTGTTAGTAGTACATTCTTTCACTGCTCCTTCCTGTCAATAAATACATTTATTTCATGCAAATATATTTATTTCATGCAGTAATTTGGGGTGTTTTTTTCTGTGCTTTTCCATCCCTACTAAGCTCACAACAGAAGGGACATCATGGAAAAAGCAAATTAAGCAGAGTTTAGAAGCTGAGACGTGTGTGAAGGTTTTGTAGTTCTTTTGGTTTTTAAAATGGCAGAAATCCTCCAGCATCCCCCTTTTGCCACCACCAATTCCAAAGGGAATTTCAGGACCCCAATTCCTGGCAGCAGGGCCTGGAGGGATCCAGCTCTTCCCAACCCTGGCACCTCACCCAGAGCAGAAACCCAACCCCTGTTTGGTTTTCAGCCTCCAAAATGTGTCCCTGGAACCCTGATTTGCTGCACAGCCACGATGATTGCACCAAACACTCTTCCCCAGGGCTGCTGGATTTTGCCCAAATATTTTCTCACCTCCCAGAACCCAAAATCCTCAGCAGAGGAGCCCAGGGACTGCTGCCCACTAAAGCTGATAAAGTCAGGCACAGAACAATGCCATGATTGTAACTAAACCACAGGCAGGCAAAGAAAATCAATTATATTTAAAAAAACAAAAAACAAAACAACCTAATTCCTACTAGCAGACAAACAAAACAAATCCAACAAAACAAAGCCAAGAAAAGAGCCAGAAGTGGGAGGGGTGGGACACCGAAAAAAACAATCCTCATTTGGATGAAAAAGAATCCTTTGGGAGAATATTTGGAGAGCGTGGATGTGCAGCCGCCCCTCAGGAAGGAATATTGACATTTCCTCTGAATTTCCCATCTCCTCTCTCCCCACGTGCTGACAGCCAGGCTGGAGCTGCCAAGATCCCGAGCCAGGGAGGAGGGAGAGGCTGAGCCCTTGGCAGCTTTGGGTTCTTTCAGAGCAGTCTCACCCATCGAGTTTTCTTTTTTATTTTTTTTTTTCTTTTTTTTCCTGCTTTCTTTGTGGCTGGGGGAAGTTGGAAGAAGAATGATGCAGTTGAAAGAAAGGCAGGCGTGTTCCTGCAGCTGTGGGCAGGAGGAGAGCTGGGGCAAGAAATTTAGGGGAGGGAGTCCCAGGAACTGAAAAATGAGAGTGTCAGGCACTTCCAAGGGGGAGCAAGGCGGGGAGAGCAGGGGAAGAGAAAAGGGAAAAGGGGAAAGGGAGAAGGGAAAATGGAGAAGGGAAAAGGGGAAAGGGAGAAGGGAAAAGGGAAAAGAGAAAAGGGGAAAGGGAAAAGGGGAAGGGGAAAGGAAAAGAGAAAAGGAAAATGGGAGAAGGGAAAAGGGAGAAGACGGAAAGGAAAAGGGAAAAGGGAAAAGGGAGAAAGGGAGAAGAGAATAGGGAAAAGGGAAAAGAGAGAAGGGAAAAGGGAGAAGAGAAAAGGGAAAAGGGAATAGAGAGAAGGGAAAAGGGAGAAGAGAAAAGGGAAAAGGAAAAAGGGAGAAGGGAGAAGAGAATAGAGAAAAGAGAGAAGGGAAAAGGGAAAAGGAGGGCAGGGCTGGGTGTCACTGGACAGGGACAGCAGAGCTCTCAGGTCATTGTGGAGCCTCATCCTCCTCATTTCATCAAAATTTACCCCAAAATTTCGCTTGTCCTGAGGACAAACATCCATTTTTACCACCCGGGAGCCGCATAAAAACGCAGCCATAAAAGCGGCATCCATAAAAAAATTCCTTCTGTCTTGACAACAATCAGCCTCTCACTCCGGCCATCCCTGCCTATTTCCATCCACCTTGAGTGGCCCAGCTTTGGGGCTCGGCAGCAAGATTTTAGTGGGTAAAGCATCACTTCCCAGCTATAAAACCCCAAGAAAACCCTTCCCAGTCGGCGTCAGGAGAGCCCCAGGCACTGCTCTGCTCCCTGCCTGGTCCTGGCAGCTGCTACACCCATGAGAATCCTGCCTGGCCAGGTCCCAGCTCTTAATTATCTCTGTTTGTTATCTCTATCCATCAGCAGCAGCCCCACAAGTTTACAGAAGTCTTGGGTTTTTTTTGTTTTTTTTTGTTTTTTTACCGAGCACAGGCAGAAATCCCCACGGCACAGCTCCCAAATGCAGAATAAAGGAAGGCACCGAGCAGATGAGTAAAGGGCGTTTGAATCCCCCCACAATTTATTTCCACAAAAGGCATTTGCGGCTAATTGGGTGCTAGAGGCACAGGAGCGCACACCGAGCTGCCTTCAAAGCTCTACACCCAGCCCAAAAATATTTCCACTCTCACAAAGCCCCAGACTTGAAGCGTTTTAGAATCCGTGAAGCACAGCCTGCTTAAAATTTGAGTTTTAACTTCCTTCAGCTGCTCCTTTCCAAGGTTCTTCAAGTTGGGTTTTTTGGGGTTTTTTTGCAGCTATGAAATCATTTACACGATTAATTTGAATTAAGGGAGAAAATTAGAGAGGCTCTAGGAAACAGCAGCGATTATCTGAAATAAAATAAGAATAAATTCATCAGGAAGGGTTCGGGGCCGGCCAGGTTGTGTTGGTTGCAATGCCCCAGGTGTGCATTTGTGACTCGTGGCTGCTGTGACCTTTCCATTTCCCTGGAATTATTACTCACACACCAAGGCAACCCCTGCCCTGATAGCAGAGCTGATAAAATTCTGCAGAATCCGGCAGTTCTTCGAGCTCGGAGCCAAGGTGTTGTTTGCTGAGGTGAAATTCTCTCCAAGTCCATCCTGCTGCCATTTGTATTGTGAAAAAAATCTGGTTAACTCCAGCAGGGTAGTTTGTTTTCTTTTTTTTTTTTTATTATTTATTTCCACTTGTCTCTTAAAAATAAAAATAATAAAAAACAACTCAGCTGCATTCCCTCACTGGTTAAATAAACTTTGGGGTTTAGCTCCTCACATCAGCTCCTCCCCAAAATCAGAGCTGCAGAGGGAAAATTTATATTTTAATCCATCTGTCTTATAAAATATTCTCATTGCAAAAATACAATTAAAAAGCCCAAATGGAAATAAATCGCTCCCAGTCCCCGCATTGTCAGTGGGATTGGAATAAATTCTGAGCTCTCATTTGTTTAAATTTAAATTTGGATTCAGCTGGCTTTTCAGGATTATCTCAGAATTACCAGACTTCAGGCTTGTTTTTTGGTTTTTAACACAAAAATCCAATCCCAAGTGCCAAAAGTCTCGCGTCCATTTGATCCTCCCCCCAAAAAAATCAACTTTATTGTATAGATGGAATAAGGTCAGGGATGTGCTGATTTATGATTTTAAATTTTGCTCCTGCGTGAGCTGAAATTTCAGGGTCCTCACAGCAACCCTGGGTTTGGAAAGTCCAAAAAAAAAAAAAAAAATCCTAATTTACCACGAGGGATCAGCAGGGAATGTGGGATCATCAGTTCATTGAGGGTCAGGATTAGAAACCCCAAAAAAATCCTTTCCCTGGAATGGCACCAAAAAAAAAAATAAAAAAATTTGGTAATTTCTGGTTTTCAGTAGGAATTTTATTCTGTGGTTTTGGGATATGTTCACCATCAACTCCACAGCATAAAGCAAAAAGCTGTTGAAAAATTGATTTATTTCTGGAATTTGCTATGACAAATTAATTTTTCACAGCTGGATTATTGCCCCCTTTGGTTTTTAATACCTGCAGGGCAATTCAGGGGTGGTTTGGGGGCATTTTTGGGGAGATTTTGGGGTCACGATTCCCCAAAAAGGATAAACAAGAAGAGCAACAAACAGCAGGAAAAAAATCGCAATAAACCATGGAAAGAGGAAAGAAAAAAAGAGGAAAGAAAATTTAAAAAAGAAAAAAAAAAGAGAGAAAAGAAAATAAAAAGAGAAATGAAAATAAAAAGAGAAATGAAAAATAAAGAGATTCTGCCCCAATAAAATGAAAATAAAAAGAAAATAAAAAGAGATTTCCCAGCCCCAGTTCATGGAGGTGAGAAATGAT